AGAGCACTCTCTTTCAACCCCTGGCAGCGAGCGTTATCAAGCGAGTCGATTGATTGTTCGTTAGGTCTGGCGATTATATTTACTCTGATCAGTTACGTGCAAATTTCGTGATCACACGACACTATGAGTCCAATCCCAAGTGTTATTTATCTTCTTGCATCGTACGCACTTTCTTTATTTTCGTTCGCATGGCCTCTAGTCACCATTTAGAAAAATATTATACCTAATGACCAACCGCTGTGTGCGGAGACTCAAATCGAATCGCCCCTCTGAGGAACTCAAAATGTCTTAAACAAGGACTGAGGCGCATGGTTTTATCTTTCCGAAGCTGATCCGCAAATTTTTTGACAACCATGCTATGTTAAAGCAGAGGGGGAGTCATTAAGTTCCTTTATTCCCTCACCAAAACTACATGTCTGTTATGTGTGTGTGACACTTGTGTAGCTGTTATATATTTCTATGATAAATGTTGCATTTATGTGACATTTGTGTGACATGATTGCACATACATGTGACATATACAGTATATGTTGGATATGTTATTATGTAAGGACTGTATGTGACCAGTATTAAGTTTTGGTAAGGTTTCACAGCCAGCTGGTTGCAATTTCACATTCTCTTCATATAGTATGTATTTTCAGTTTTCTATATATTGCAAGGTGCATATGCATATGATTTAGGGCCAATATCTTCAAAATTTTCTCTTCAGAAGTAAATAAATGCTACTTATATACAGAAATGAATTGATGCCTGAAGTTGTATTAAACTTTGATTAAATGGACAGTATGATATTCTGGAGGCTTTGTCCTGGCAAAAAGATTGTAAATTCAATTACATGTTAATACTTTGCCTAGGGTCATTCCTTAGTATTGCACATTTTCACTGTGTATAATTTCACATGTAACTATGGTGCATACTTCATAAGAATGGTGGCCAATTATTTTGTCCTGGCAAAAAGATTGTAAATCCAGTTACATGTTAATACTTTGCTTAGGGTCATTCCTTAGTATTGCACATTTTCACTGTGTATAATTTCACATGTAACTATGGTGTATGCTTCATGAGAATGGTGCCTTTTTTCTCCATGGGAGCTCACCATAGAAGTAAATTGTCATTTTCTCGCGAATGAGTTTGGGAACTTACAGTGTACCATTTTTCTCCTTCTTGAAATTGGGAAATCATTTTCTCTCTGTCAAACAACTATAAACCAATTCTTAGTGTAGGAGAAGGAAAGAATTTGATAAATGCCATTTTAGCAAATTCTCACAAATATAACTGTCATGATATGAACTGGAATGATATGGATATCTAGAAGGTACTGCTCAATATCAACGTCCCTAGGTAACAGATTTTCTGTAAAAAGAAAAAAATTAGTAAGGCTGCAAATATTATTTTTCGCTTCAAAAGGCCATATGCCAGACTGCATCACCATTTTGATGACATTTGCTCTAAGAAAACAAAAATGTGGTTTATTGTGACAGGTCATGTCTCCCTTTGCTATTTTTCGCCTTATCAATAGACATTTCTCATTGAAATATCAATAATTTTGCATAAAGGGAAGGAAAGTGAAGAAATAAAAAACAATTGAGAAGATATGCATCATTGAGATTTGTCGCAGAAGAGCACATTTGGAACAGTTATTGTCTGGTGACCCAAAGTTATTTATATTCCTGAACGAGAGTTTAACATAAAACAGTTTTCACGAGTTGGCTCACCAAAGCCCTTTGATCATCAGTGTTATTCAGTCAGAGGACTAGACTGAGTGGAGGAAACAAATAAAGTATGTGTGTTTCAGCCGTGACAAAATAGGTTAATAGGGATGCATCAAGAAAGGTCAGTGTTAGGATGTATACCTTTGTTGCATCGTATTTCATTTTTCGGTCGCGCAATGTGTCCTGGCTGTCAAGTCACTAGTCAGTAGTAAACACGAAAGAAACTTTACTTTTACAATGAAACGTACAGACAATGAAGTGCGGAATGAAATAGGAGTGTTACTGTCTGATTCCAACGATTGGCTTAGCGACAAGTGCTCATTAAACTGAAACCTGATTAATTATTTCCGGTAATTCAATTCCCAGAAACATTTGCATGTCTTTTACCAAGTATGTTGAAGTTGTTGAAAATTCCGCCATTATAAAAATGCTACCAGCGAAAGTCACTGTATAATCAACTGATAGCGATAGCCACATGTACACAGTCTTGATCGGAGACGTTTAAAGAAGAGGTTTTAAGGTAAGTATAGTTTGTTGTTGCTGTAGCGTCAATTTTGTTCACAAACGCGATCGTTCTTCTCAGACTACGCCACATCAAAAGATTTGTAGTAACACGCATGATCAGTCCCTTGACAGTGCTGATACCGAAATTGATTGATACTTAACAAATAGAGAAGCCTAGACTACACTTTGTTCTTTTATAAAGCGCGCAGGAAGAGGCTAGAGTACGAAAGAAGTGTAGGAAGGAACACGATCGTGTTTCTTCCCACACTTCTTAAGTCGAATTTGGCCGAAGCGAACAAATCTTCAGACGCACCGCCAACAAAATTTGTCCTGGGTAAAAATTATGCAAATTCGACTTAATAAATAAAACCGTGATAAACTTGTCAATCGTTTGTCTTACAAGCCACGACAAACGTGTAATGGAACTGTAATCAGTTTACTAAATCCTGGAAATTGGAAGTGGAATCCTTCGGCAACTATGCTGGCCGGTCCTATGAACAGATCAGACGCTGACGGAATTTGTCGGCTTTGATATTTTTAATGCGGTTGTAACAGACGAAACAAAGATTTGTTGTGACAAAGTTTGTCGTTTGATTTTGTCGCAACAATTTTAGTTTTGTCCGCTAGTGAGGAAAGGCCCTACGACTAAAGCTGTCATAAATGTCAAACCATCAAAGTTCACAATAATCTGCAATAGTTTACGAACTGAAATAGTATGGCAGGTCGAATTTAACTGTGTTTGAATTTTGTTACCGTACGTAAGCTTGCTATTAAAAACCGCTGGGTGAGAAAACCTTAAAAACTTGGACTGTCCATTTCATTTTCTCCTTGTGATATTCGTCTCTGCTCTCTTTATACTAACGTAAACTACGGCGCTTGGCGTGTTTACAAATCCTAATTTGGTTCCTCTGTTGTTACTTGCCGACTCGCTTGTTCCGAAATTTCACTTTCCATTAACGAAAAGAGGCTGGGGAGAAGGATCGGAAAAGGTCGGACATATAACAATTTGGCAGATGGCGTGACGGCTTTAGCTCAGCAATGAGAGTGCACATTATATCCGAACTTTATTGTAATAAAATTTGACTCGTACGTAATATAAGTGCACAATTTTCATCATACATACCGGTATTGTTTTCAACCAAACAATCGAGTTCCGCTTGATTCGATCGATAGCTGGGAGATGTTCAGACTCAGAGATAAACTGTGACTTATTGTCATACTCTTCTGCTCCTTACCTTGATTTTGAATTTGTTTCTTTGGATTTTCGTTGGTCAACTCTATTGCGAATAACTTAAGCCGCAAGTTGCGATTGTTATTGCGAAGATATTAAAAGTTTGGATCACGTATATTCGTCGATTGATTATTCGTTAGGTCTGGCGATATCTTCGAATTACTGTAATGTGCAAGGTTCGTGATCCAACGATATTATGAGTCCAATCCCAAGCGTTTTTTATTTTCTTGCATCGTTTGCACTTTCTTTATTTTCGTTCGCACGGCCTCTAGTCACCATTTTGAAAAATTATACTCAATGACCAACCGCGGTTTGCAGAGACTCCAATCAAATCGCCCTTCTGACGAACTTAAAAGGTTTTAAACCAGGACGGAGGTGGTTTTATTTTTTCGAGGCTTGTTCGCAAATTTTTTAAACAAATTTAAAGCTATATTTAATAAGCAGAGGGGAAGTCATCATTAAGTTCCTCTATTCCCTTACCAAAACTTCAATTATGTTATATATGTATGACACTCATGTATCTGACATGGTTTGATGCTACTCTGGTTTAAGATTTCATGAAAGTAACCGAGAAGTTACAATTGAAAGACCCAACGTTCGATATATATATATATATATATATATATATATATATGTGATAGATATTGCATTTATGTGGCATATATATAAAGATTGTGACATGATTGCACATACATGTGACATATCTGTGACATGTGACATACAGTATACGTTGGGTATGTAATTATCTAACGAATATATGCAACATATATGTAGTATTGATAAGGGTTAACAGCCAGCTGGTTACAACTGGACATTCCGTTCACATGATGTGTATTTTCAGTTTTCTATATTGCAAGGTGCATATGCATATCCAATAGGACCAATATCTTCAAAATTTTCTTTCCAGAATTAAATGAATGTTACTTATATACAGCAACGAATTAATGCCTACAGTTGTATTAAACCTTGATAAAATGGGCGGTATTATATTCTGGAGGCTAATTATTGTGTCCAGGCAAAAAGATTGTAAATTTAATTACATGTTAATACTTTGCTCAGGGTCATTCCTTAGTGTTGCATTGCACATCCTCACTGTGTATAATTTCACATGTAACCATGGTGCATGCTTCCAAAAATGGTGCCTTTTTTTCTCCATCGGAGCTCACCAGAGAGGTAAATTGTCATTTTCTCGCAAATGAGCTTGGATACCTAACATTTTTCTCTTTCTTGGAACTGGGAAACTATTTTCTTTCTGTCAAACAACTTTAAACCAATTCTTGGTGTAGAGAAAGGTAAAAATTTCAGAAATGCCAATTTAAAAAATACTCACAAATGTAATTGTCATGATATCATAGGAATGATATGGATATCTAGAAGGTACTGCAGCTCATAAAAGAGCATGGGACCTCCCTTTTTTCATTTCAAATTTTACTTTCACTTAAGATCTACAGCCAACATGTACAGTTTGACAACAATCTCAGTGTGTGTTCTACGGAAGGGCTTTGAGTCTTCAATGTATTTTATCAATTGCTCTGTATTTTTTTCTTTTACAGAAGCTGATTGGCATTGTTATAAGTTAGAATGGCAGCAAGCACTTTCAGAGACATTCGAGGTAATCCACTAAATATCAATATTAATCTTCCAAGGATAAATGAGTGTTGCCCGTTATTTAAAAATAGGAGCCAAGTTCCTAGTGAAGAAGATTTAGAGTGGCTTTTGCACCGACTCGAAAAATGGAAGACATTCGGGCGTCTTCTCAAAATTGAGGAAGCAAGATTAACGGCGTTTGACGATAAAAATGTGGAATACTCTAAAAAAATTTACAAAATGTCACTACATTGGAGAGAGATATTGGAGAGAGAGGAATGGCTCAGCTGCAACATACACGGTCCTACATGATGCACTGTGTCACCCATTGGTTAATCGCACAGATTTAGTTGAGCAACCTGGGGCATATTCGAAGTTACCCCAATTTATCACTAGTAATATATCACTAATCTAGCAATTCAATAATCTTGCACCCTCAACCTCATCTTCCCGCCCCCTGCCTTTATAAACTAAGAATGCGTGGATCCAGCAGAATGGCATGAATAGATGCAACACGTACTACTCGCTATCCCCTCATCTTGATGCTTTTCTCTGATGTCTTTATGTTTTCAGTCAAGCAAGGAGTTCCCAGTGACGAAGAATTAGAGTGGCTTTCGCACCAACTCGAAAATTGGGAGGAACTCGGGCGTCGTCTCAAAATTGAGCAGGCAACATTAACGGCGTTTGACGATGACTATGGGAGAAAGCGTAAAAAAATCTACAAAATGTTACAACATTGGAAACAGAAGGATGGCTCAGATGCAACATACATGGTCCTACATGATGCACTGTGTCATCAGTTTGTTAATCGCGCAGATTTAGCTGAGAAACTTTGCCGTCAATAGCATTTATTGACTCACAGATAGCTTTTATCTCTATTTTTACTGATTATTCCACTGTCAAATGAACAAGTATCCCTTGTATGGCCACACTATTACCATGTGAAGTACTAAATAAATTATCTTCCTTTTCCTCGTGGGATCGTTTTTCTGTCTCTTACACACATGAATCTTTCTATCCTTTTAATGAAAAACGTCAAGTGATAAAGGATATTGCTAGTTATGACCCACCCATAACTTTTCGTGCAACTCTATTGACTACTTAACGTCACGCGGTACAAAATCACCGGATAAAACCACCATTTACGTCGATATTTGTAACCCAATCATTTCCGTCTAAAAGAAACCAAAACAGCGGAAAAAAAGCCAGCACTAGAGTTTCACTTTTTTATTTTTCTTATTGTACATGTGAGAAAAACGAAGTTATTTTGAAGAGTTCACTTGCAGTGATATTAAAAAGCTGATCACAAATGCTGGTCCGGAAAACTGAAAAAAATCAACAAAATTTTTGTCAAGGCGCAATACGGAAATTAACAGAAGGGTTATGAATTGAATAAACCCACTTTTGGCATGTTAGTATTTCGAGGGATAATTTCCTTGGCTGACATATTGCCTTGTAAATTTTACAATTTTTCCTCGAAGCTCCGCTTATCGGCCAAAAATTCAATTTCAGGCAATAGCTCAGTCGCAGACATGAACAGCCGACATACTAGCCGCTTAAAGACGTTTACTAAACATTCGGTGAGTTGCTCACCGAAGGCATACGGTATGTTACGCATTTGCATTACCACTGATATCCATGCGTAATGCACAGGCATTCTTCCTTCAATTGTTAGTTTTGACGCAGCTCTGAATTTGGAATTTCAGGCGCTTTTTTCTAAGAGGTTTGATGAAACCAAAATTCAGCGTAATGAGAATCTCACGCCGAGAACACGAATATATGCCATGTTTTGTAGTTGATAATGAGATTTTAGTGCATTAGCTAATATATCGATTAAGAAATTGAGAGGAATGTCGAGCTGAGTCATATTTTCTCAAAAAATTGTAAACTCACGAGGAAAAGACTCCGTTAATAACTAGGCAACGAAAAAACGTGGTTCCCTTACACTCGATTAGGCTTGGACAAAAGGCAAAGTTCTTGAAACAGTCAGCTTGCCTGATAATGATATACATTTGATATTGGAAGTTCATGATTGATTAATTGCCTACGATAATTTACGGTGTAGAATATTTGTCAACGAAACGTTTCCGTAATAATAAATGAAAGGTTTGACATAACTAACGGCCTATAGAATGATTCTATGGCAAGGAAAAAGTGTTTGGTAAAAACAAACGGTAGAGGTTTATGATTTCATCAGGGCTTCCTTACTGCTTTTAGCTGGCATGGAAGAAAACAAATGTCGATTTGCCATTATTTCTTTTGTGTGTGTGTCTTTTGTTCTTTAGAAAAGTCTTTGAGCATCCTTTGCTTCTGGATTGAGTAGTTTGGTTGGAGCCCAATGGTTGGCAATTGTACTGATTTTCCGGAATAGTTTTCTTGGGTAAAATTTCTTTCTACCAAGCTTTGAGCAGTAAAATCTTTATAAAGCGAACTGCTGGATAGAGAGTTATTGTCTATTCATAACAAAAAACTTGTATAGAGATTTTGCACTTCGAGTTTTATTTTTTGGCATAAAATTTTGCCCGACAGCTAAATAACAAAAGTTTTCTCAGAGCTTTGCTAAGCTTCGCAATATCTTTGATGGTTTGAAGTATTGAATATCACTTTTTTCAATCGAATGTTGCAGATCTGACGCATTTATGAAGCTATACAGGAAACCAATTCTCTGTTATGAGGCCACGGTTCTATAATGATATTGTCTAGGTGATAAAAAGAAGTGAAAATCTAGTAAAAATAATTAGTGTCATCAAATGAGGGAGGGGAGGCGTCCCAAAGGAACTTAATTTTTTCAATTTTATTTTTGTCAATTGTTAGTTATCAGGAATACATACTTTGCAGAAAATAACAGGAGGAAAAATAAGTAAGAGAATACAATCCTTGGAAATGCTGAATAAAACTGGTAAATAAGCTGAAAAAGAATGTCTAGAGAGAGTATAGTGGTTAGCTTAATACGAATCATAATATTTGATATATTCGGTTGAGAGGCTGCCAGGAACCACACGGCTCTTACAGAGAGCCACTCGCTTTACATTTTAACCTCTTAAATGAAGAGTGGGACTTTATACCATCAGTGTTTCGCACATGAACTCTTACTTAAGTGTGTATCAATAGAACGTTAGCAGAGGTATAATTTTGGTCAATTTATGAATCAACATATCAATCAAGCAGGGAAGGAAACAATCTGTTGATAAACCACCAAGCTACCGATCATTTAATTGATCGATCGATCCGGTGCGACAATCTAGAGATACAGTATGTAACGTAACTTAAGGAAAAATGCTTTAAGAGCGTAATCTTTACTACTAGTTATCAAGTACAATGACCCGATTGATAAATCTAATAGCTTTGAATTACAAAAAAGGAAAGGCTTAACAAATGCTTTTAACTCTAAGGAAACTTCACGGCTGATAAACATTTAATAAACATTTAATAAAAGTCATTGCAGGTGTAGTGGTAACTTATCTGGGGTAATGGAGTAACACTCCTGTGTTAAGAACAAAAGAAGAAGAAGAAGAAGCTATTAAAGCTGTGGGCGATCAAATCTTTTTGAAAATGCGATCCTGGAGGGAAACTCCCACTCTTTTCATAGGTTAGAAGGTATTCATTAATGTCAGCCTTCATTAATGTCAGCCGAATGGTCATCTTTATGAATTTACCCAATCGTTTCCACAATCGAATACGGTGAAACCTGTATCGGTGTTCATTTACTTAAGGTTGATTCATTGCTGAACCTTAATAGAATGAGGTGAGTAATCTGGAACCCATTGATTGAGGTAAACATACCTTAATAAGCGATATGTGAATGCAAGTTACTTTAAAAGAAAAACTGCGAGAAAATTCAGGACTTGCGTTAGGGTCCACTTTAGACAGGGTGACATTTGTGACCAGCCTTTGGAGGAAAACACATTGAAAATTATTTCAAGCCGAAGCTCTCAAAGTTCATTATACCTTGAATTGAAAAAAAAAATTCTTTAGCCAATATGAAGGATGGAATTCTAGATTTTTCCTTTACCTCCTTTAATCTCAGCCGCTGCCAGATACCCCTGGCAAATTCAAACGTTTGATCACCACTTCGCACGTATAGGGGTCCAGTACCACTGCCATCATCTTATCTGTTTCTTCGGGACTTGTTTTCTCTGACAAGGACGAGACTTCGTTTACTTTTATCAAAAGAAAAAAATTTGATCAAATCTAAATTGCAAAAATGAGAGAATTAATATGATGCATTTGGTTTGAACCTCGATTGTTTTCCTTGAAAAAGACTTCAGAGTTTAGGTTTTCGATCACCCCTACTTAAATAAATTTGGTTAGATCTCTGTCGAAAGATTTTCCAGATGAATATGACTTAAAATAAATTATGCATTGCAGAAAGTCATAAGCTCCATGTAATTTATGCCTTCTGAAGTAATCCTAACCGTGCCTTATTATATCTTGGTGGATAACTGAACCACCCGCAGACGAAGAGTAAAAGGTACAGTTATTTCAGTAGCACTGAAGCACATTGCCAAGCACACTGAATGTTTCACTTAACCCTATAATTCCGTCCGAATATCTCATTGTAATTCTCTTTATTGTATGACATACAATTCTCATGATGTCAATTTGAAGAATTTGATATTGAATCAACTAATAATCCCATAATCGAAATTTTCCTTTATTCTCATCACTACTATGCTTGATCTTGTTTTGATGTTTTAAGAAGAAATTCTCTTTTGGTCACTCGTGGGAGGTAAAGGGTTAAAGCCTTTAAATACTGAAAAACAGTCAGACATAAAACTTTGAAGGAGAAAGTTTTATTCTTATTTTACTTGGACATTCTGATGCACTAAGGTCTGTTTGTGTTGCTTTACAGTTAAACTTTTGTCCCACCATCAAGTTAACAGCTCGATCCTCTGGGCGGCTACCTTGTCCTTAGTGTAAAACTGGTAAATCTGCAACAAACGCAAAAATCTTTTTATTCAATAACTCCTTTATTTCTGATACCATCTAAGGTGTGTTTTTTGTTGAGACACACTCCTCTTTACGATGTCATAAAGGAAAAAACCTGACTGTTTTTTAGACTTTAGTTTCTGCCAATCATTTCCTCACTTCGGTTCTCCGTGATTAAAAAAGCGCAGTTACAAATCTGGATTGAAAAGGCTACCTCAGAGATCACCAGAGAACATAACTTTGTAATTTTGGACACGACAGTTCCTTCTTATCATGACTTTCTCCAAGTAAGGGTGTGAGTGGGAACCTACGAGACCTATTTGGGAATATACCAACATCTAGGGAAGGAAACTACCAAAACAGCCAGAAATTGCTGACGCTTTTTTAAAGGGTGTGATGAATGAAATACGGTTAAGCCAAACACCCCTTTAATCATATGTGTAAATGATAGGTTTCCAGCCATAAAATTCCCACCTTTGGAGCAAAAATCAACAGCATCGTCGAAGAAGTACTCATGATCAGGCACATGGATAAAATAGCATAGGAGGCGTTATAGTACTCAGATCCTTCCAATGTCAGCGACACACAAATAGATTGTTCCATTCTCTGTCAGGATCAGAGGGCGGTTCAGTTCATTTGCCATCTTGTCTCAAATGTGCGATTACGTGAGCTGTCACGTCATTCATGTTGTAACATCGTTGGAAAGAAACTTTATTATGCGACCCTTGGCTTAGTCAAGCAGCTGAGCAGTTAATAAAGTAATTAATCATACCATACAAAAAAACCATAGAGAAATGAGTAACACTTAGTCAACACCCAAGAATTTAATGATACGGGTTTTTTCTGCCCCTTATCGTTATTAATTACATATCATTCATTCTGTACATATTTCTTCATGAACCAAAAATTTGCTGGA